CAATACTGGGACAAAACTAAGTGACGTCATGCGATCCAAAACGGCGGCCAGTGAGAAACTCAAGAATCTATCTCACATGTATTTCTTTCCAAATTCTTACACATTTTGGTTCATCATCATCATCATCATGTTTATTTGTTCAACCAGGTTAAATTTACTGGCAACTGTATAAGCTGATGTGGACCTGCTGTTTTCCCACCCAACTCACCCCAGGGGAGGACATCCAGCACACAGTAATCTCGTGCGTGGGAAATTAACGTCTTTTTACCCCTTACCCTTTAAGAGACGGGACCTCCGGCTTTACGTCCTATCCGAGAAGACGAAACAATGTGAGTGAAGTGTCTTGCTTAAGGACACAACGTTAAGCCCCAGCCAGGACTTGAACCCGGGCCGTTTGACCCAGAGTCCAGCGCACTGACCACTGGACTACTCACGCCTCACGCCTCACGCCTCACGCCTCACGCCTCACGCCTCACGCCTCACGCCTCACGCCTCACGCCTCACGCCTCACGCCTCACGCCTCACGCCTCACGCCTCACGCCTCACGCCTCACGCCTCACGCCTCACGCCTCANTGGATAGAGCGCTGGACTGTTGTGCGGGAGGTCGAGGGTTCGAGCCCCGGCCGGACCAACACTCATGGTCTTAAAATAATTGAGAAGAATATGCTACCTTTCTAATCAAAAAATGATTAGATGTTTTAGTCTTCTCGGATAGGGACGAATAAATGGAGGTCCCGTCTCCTGCAGGGTTAGGGGCAGGAGACGTTAATTTCCCACCTACGAGATTACTGTGTGATAGATGTCCTCCTCTGGGGTGGGATGGGTGGGTAACAGGACCCCAGTTGATACCACTGTCTACTACACTGAAGGGGCTATCCTGTATAAATATATCTAATGATAAAGATCGCTTCGGATATTCATTTTTGAAGATTGTTGTCTATTCCATGATTTCTTTACCACTTTTGAATAACTGGTGGTTGTGTTTTCAGAGTATTGCTCAGCCCTCTGTCTGCAATCTTAGCTATACAGGTTGCTAGGTGACTTGATAAACAGAATAGACATGAAAGGTTGGTATGCCTTAAACTGTACAAAGTAAAAAAAAAGATGGAATTTCATTTTACTAAAATTTATTCAATTACTTACATTTACCTCGTGTTTTGGAAAAAGTTGAAAGAGATATAATAGTATTAATGAATAAGATAATCACTATTTGTTGAGACCGCTAGAGCATTCATGAAAACCTGCACATAAAGGCTCACTTAAAGCCTAACCTGGTCCGGCTTTGATTCAGTAAACAACCATTTAGAGACCAGTGACTTGAGGCTTACAGTACTTGGGTTACAGTACCCGCCAGAGTGGTGAATGAAGGGAAGTAAATTTAAAAATATCTGTAAAAAGTCAACGCATCTTTATTCCCGGGTTAAATCCCTTAAGAGATTCTTAGTAGTTTATTTATTACATTGTTTAATTCAGTGATCCTAGTTAGCAGGATGTGAACGGGAATTGTTTCTCTTATCATTATAAAGTAACCTTCTGACATTCACAGAGAAGTCAACTCAAGACTTGTTAAATAATCCTACCCATTTTTCTAAAGTGCATTGTTAGATATTCAAAAGGCGGATCCCTTCAACACAAAGTATAATCATGCGAAGATCAGATAGGGCCGTCGAAAAGAAAACCTTCTGACGATCAGTATAGATATACACACCAATATTGGTGTAACTGTGCTCTGCGATGAATGTAGCTCTGCGTTTTTTAAATTGTTCGAAATTCCGCTGTGTCCAGTCAACAGAAACTATCAAGAATAGCTTCAAGACTGACGAATACCTATTACCAAACGTCACGTTTGATTTCACAATTTTTCTCTTTAAGGAAGACATAAGGGCGCCAGTAGTAGGAAGCTTTTGACGTTGTTGGGGGAATATTTAAACTTCTTCGTAAATCTAAATTTTTGTAATTGTCAGGATAGCTTGGTCTCCCCGCCCAAGGTTATGATCCTGAAAGTTGCTTTACATATTTTCACTGTATTATTACATAGCTTTGTTGTTGTTGTGAGCATTGCGGGGGTTATTTTGAGGTCTTTAGGTGTTCCCCTGTTATGACGACCGATATGCTATCAACAACATACCAATGCTTTAGGGCAAAATGCAAAGCAAGCTGAAGGTGACAAAGCGATTTTCAAGTCGATCAATATTTGGTCTGGAAGTTTGCTTGTTTAAAAATTTGTCTTTATTCTGAAATCTCTTTTGGCTGTGATCGTAGTCATCTTCGCTGTCATAGCCTTATGAAAGCGGAAAATCATGTCTTTATTTATGATGCGTGTACTGTTCAGGCGGAGATTGGACGTCAACTTAAGCCAGATAAACAGGAAACATTCATAGGAATGAGTGCGAGGAGATAAAGTCTGATTCAACTACTTACTTTCATTACCAGAGGAACAGCTGTTGCTTAGTTTTAGTTTCCAAATCCGAGTGCTACTGCGAACACTAAAGACGAAAGTTTTAAGAAACATTTTAACGTTGCTATGGTTGGACGGTTTCTTACTAAGTTGCTCAGTGGAGCATTAAACGAATCCGCGGTTTCTTATTTTCGTAGTTAAGTTTATTTACGTTATACTTAAAAAATGTAAATGATCCTTTTGCTATTATGATAATGCGTCATTGAAAGGCTTTTTGAATCATTTCAAGAAACAGTTAGCTTTGCTTTTGAACTGTCTTATAGAAATTAGAAACCGTGGCAGTGTTTTTCAGATAGATTTTGCCGGAAAACAAGAGTTTAGGTTATCTGGTCGCCGATCTTTACTGCTCGATCAAAAGTAAGGTGTAGTTTCAGTTATGCAGTTGAAGTCAAATATTTCTACAGTGACTGAAGACATTCATCCCGGCTGTCAAATACATAACTACAGGTGACTATCAATGAACAGGTGGTACCACACAGTAAACAAACAATCTCAACGGAAAATAGTAAACTGGAACTATGGTTATGCTTCTAACTTAATTGGAAATAAACTAAGCTTAGCTAGCATTTCTACAAGGCACTTCTAAGAAATCAAAAGTTAACTGAAACAGTTGTAAACTGGCCCTACAGTTCATTAAAGTTATTGACCCACAAACCCTGGTGAATTTACACTTAATCAGTTGAATTGTGGGGACAAATAGATGCCATACTGACTGTTTACCAAAGTCCGAGATAAGTAAAATGATCTGGTTATATTTCCTGGTATTCTAGATATATGAGAGTCTCTACTGTCCCTATCAGCTCTCCAAGACATTGCTTGATGTCCTCTATTTTAGCAATATAATCACTTTCGTCACTCGCAATAGAATTGACCAGATTTTGTAGATTTTTGGTGCAATCGGTGATTTTCTCGTGTCCCGATACACCGGACTCGCAGAGGCGCTGTAATGTTCTGTTAAACATGCCGTGTTTGTTATTAAGCTGGGGCCTTATCTTGCCACAAAGTTCGCGCACTGGTCGAATGCATGGTACCTCATGACCGTAACGGTCCACTCGTCCGAACGCCTCACTGAGTTTCTTAACAGCTTGACAAAGGGCTTCTAAATCTCTTTTTTCACCTTGTTTCATGACACTCGGATCTTCAGTCTCTGATTTTGCTCTTTTTCGCCAATTTCTGTTTCCACGCGCGTTTCTGTTTTCTTGAATTTCCATTGCTACTTTGTTGACGTTTTCAAGACTCCTCCAGGTTCGACGCAAACTGCTCCACTGTGGGCGAGCGTCCTGTTTACAGCTCATTGCAAACAAATTTGGCTTTTTTTCAAAATTATCAGGGCGTGGAGTCCGTCGACTGAGTTTGGATGAATGGTTTAAAGTAAGGTGAATCAAGAAAAACTATTCTTTTAAATATAGATCCTGACCTCATGCCACCTGATCTTACTAAGTTATGCTTGCCGAACGGACGGAACGGGGCGTACATTGCACGAACGCACATCGATCACTTGCAATGTACACCTCGGCAGTGATCGACAGATTTCAACACTAATCTCGTTCTCAGGCCTTCCCTCCTCCTCTAAAGTAGTTGGGAAAAAAGGCAGACGTTGAGAATGGGTCGGGAAATGAGCTGTAACTGTAAATGCCAGCCACGTCGGTCGACCGCTCAACTAAAATCAGTGCCCATGTATGATCGTTCGGATGAATAGCGTGGGTCGTGGCAGGAAATTTTGTAGTATCTAGCAAATAGGTCTTCTCAGAAAGTCTTGCGTATCACTGTTTTAGAACGAGGCCTTTTCCGTGCTTCACAGTTTCTGATAGTTAATCGAAGCGGAAAGCACCGTTACTAAATGGTTCCCAGGAGAGCAAGTCTTGCTCTCGATTGCTTTTAATGTCGGCTTAACACTCTAAAGAAAGGCGTCGGTCTTTTGAATGGCTTACCGCATCCTGTTGAACCAGCTGACGACTTTGTGTTGTTTGTGAATGATAATTTGGCACAAAAGCCTTATTCTTTCACTTCCTGTTCTAGGAGTTAAACACAGGAGTATTTTTAACATACCATCCTAGCGGATGGTAACTTTATATGTACACGTACCAATTACCGGAAATCGTCTATTTTGTGTTAACTGCCCAGATTTTTTACTCAAATCGTGTAATTTTCCTGAAAGTAAAGTTGTCTCTTCTTCCAGTGAGTAGGCTTAGCCGTTCTCGGTGACGAAGAATGTGAAAGTTACATTCTTTTAATTACTTGGTCAATATCAATTCAGAGGAAGTCGGCCAAAAATAGTCTACGGTCAAAGCTCACCCCTGTCTTAGCATAACAGGAATTAAAGCAGTGTCACGGCTTGTAAATTGTTTCTTCCGTAACTGAACAGTCACTCGAAATTAATACCCCTTGTGAGTTTCCGGAAGGTGTTATGGTAAGTTGCTGTTTTTTACCTCGACATACGAAAAAGTAGATCGGTTCTTGGAAAACCACCCTTTTAGCTCGAAATGCCTTCGAATTTGTTTACTACTTTTAATATATTAAAAACGATTGGAACTGCAAAAATATCTTTAAAATTTGTTGAATTTTATTGCTTATGACGTAACACTGCATTTAACGCAAAGTATAAGTGGGACATGTATTCCAATAGAACATTGTTATAAATATACTAACTATTAAGTTCCTTATAACTAATCATAACAAATAAATAAAATCACTCAATACAATTAGCAACTAAAAAAAGGTGAAGCCACGAAAATTTGGAATCTTCCTTGCTAAAAACAGAACATGATTTACTGCTTTGATAGGGAGAAAACAAAATTCCATCTGAATTTTCCAACAATTTATTTATATGAAGTTTAATTGCTTCCAGGAAGTTAGAGATAAATGCTAAAAATATGGGAATCAATTAACCACTGTTTGTATCAATTAAAACTGTTAACTGTAAATTACAACAGACCGGCCCAAAGAGTCAAATTCCTGTCAATAATAGTAATGGCAAAATTATCCTCAATATTCAATTTGTAATGTTGCTTAGTTCAACCTAAGCAAAAAATTAGTGCAAATAAATAATTAGGTGACTTCTGTCTTGTATTTTACATTCTTTAGTCACTCCCTAAAATTAGGGCAATGAAGTATAATTCTCGATAAATAAATTAAATTTTCCCAACTAAATTTGACTCTTTAGATGTCTTAAAGGATGTTATATATCATGGTGAAAATGCAATTCAAATTCTGTGGTATACGAGGGATGGCTTCACCAATAAATAAGTTTAACTTTGAAGAAAAGTTTAACTGCTATTTACACCAGTATGAGCTGTTTCAAATCTTTAAAACTTTAAAACTTATTTGTAAAAAGTTATTTCTTTGAAAAAAGGGTGCAACTTAAACTAGTGGCAAAGACATTTCTCATAATATTAATTAAGAAACTCTGTGCCACATATTTCAACCTTTGAAGATTCTTTTTTTAAAAAAAGAAAGTCTAAAAAATTAAGGCTGTTTTTTCTTTCTTGTATGAGTAGGTATATAGTCTTTGATTTGAACATTTGTTTCTGTTTCATTTTTTGTATCATAAAAAGATTATTCAATGGTTGGAATAAAATAAACGTTCTCCTACTACACAAACATAGTTGCCCTTGTTGGTTTTAAATTCCAAGACAATCACATAATCTTGTGAACATAATTAAATTACCCTGAAAAATAACCTTAGAAAAAAAACCTTAATAAATATAATTAACCCTAATTCAAAGGATGTTTTCATGGCTTCTCTTTCAGAGATAAATGGGTAAAAACTAGCTTGGAAATGTTTCACCCTGACACGGTCTGCCACAATTTTTGCTTGCATTTTAAACTCTATGAAGCTGATTGTCACCAGCCTTGCTGGTATAATAGGTATTTCTTCATTGGAACTGGAATGGGAAGCTTTTCTACATTTCCTTTTGTTAGGTGCTCTTTTCCAATGGATTTGCGTATTGTACGTCGGCACAGATCCATCAGTGGTTGAGGTTCAGCTATAAAAGAAAAAAAAAAGAATATGAACATGGTTGGAAAGGAAACTTCCCCAAGTACAAACATTTATTGATATCACAAATACAGTCAAGTAAATTTGATACCAAAGCCAGTTGCCTCAGTTCTACTGCAAAAGTCATTGACTTTCAGTTAGGTTTTTCCAATATCACTTAAATCAATCTATTCATTTTACTATGTTAAGATTTTTCTTTCTGCCTGGTATTTAAATGCATCCATATAAACACTGTATAAAGTAAACAGAGCATACTGCTCAATATAAATAGGGTTTGTTAAAAAAAAGAACTGTCTTGAAAACATAGTAACAGGTATCATGATCCAAAGTATGAGTGAGTCACTAATAGTAACTAGGCAGCCTTAACAAATATTTCCTATTGAGTTTTGCCGTAATTTCTTTCTTTGGTTTCTTTCTTTGACTTGCAGTTGATTCAGAGATAAATTTACTTAAGAACCATTATATTTGTAAGACTGCAATTCTCTGAGTTTGAAACAACAGTAAGGGTGAAAGTTTTGACCATAAACAAAATAAAAATTACCCTTCACATTTATTAATCTAATGTCATTATTTCAACCGTATAGTATAACATTTTTGTCGGCAATGAATTTTGGTTTCGCATGGTAAGAATTTTGACAAGTTTGGTAAGGAAAAGTAATTCATCTTTTCCTACAATGCCTTATTAGATAAAAAGTGAAATTTTTTAACTGTGTTGTTGAATTAAAAAAGCCGATCTAATTTCGAATTGTTTTGTGGCAAACGCTTTCAATGTTCTCTACATGCAACAGGTGGTTTGGCACGCGCCACGTTCATTGCATCAACATAGCTGCGATGTGATCTCATTGTTCCTTTGTTTCCACCCAGCTTTAGGGATAAAAATCTTACAGGGAGACAAAATTTCAAAGCCTCTGATACCACACAAAGGCTACTTCGATATTGTTAAGACGGAAAAAAACATTTATAGTGGAAATTTGACAAATTCTCTCAGGCGGAAATGACGAAACAGTCCCAAAGGATGAGAGGACTTCATTCCAAATGAAATATTAATTTCCATTCACCCATAGGAACAATGAAATCGGAAGAGAATACACTGTCTTAATGTCGTTGAGTTTTACGACAAACTTTCGCCGAAAAAATGATAAAAGCCGCTGCAAATCTATTTCAGAGATATACATCTGAGACATAAACAAAACGAATCCGTTCAAGAAGAGGCAAGTGAACCAATGAGACGAACGAAACAATTTCTACTACCAGAAGCTTTCAATTTCGAAATCTTCTTGCTTCTTTAGAAACTAATTGACAGAACGGATTTGGAAAGCGATAGAATCAGGGAAAGCGAATTTTTTTTCTTTCTCAAAAACCGTAACGCCAATCGATGAGGTAATTTTCTCATGTGACGTAAGGGAAGTTAAAATCACATGGGAATGAATATTTCAACCCCAAAACATGGCAATACATTTTTTTACGATCAATTTTAAAGTCCTCTGGTAAGGGATGAGGAATGTAAGAACTGAATCAGTACGTTAAAAAAATGAAGATTTGCTTCAACAGCCACTGACGGGCAAAACATACACTATGACAGGCTGAGTGAAAAAAGAATTCTAAACAATAGGTTTGCGTTTATGCACGAAACAAAGGACAACTCACACAGGAAGAATTCACTCGCTAAAAGAAAAGGCACTACTCACGATCTAGTCCACCGATGTATTTCATAGTGATTTCACAATGTCCCCAAACGGCTGAGACTATAGGATATACAGTTTTCCCTTTCATTCCACGGAAAGCAACTCCTAAATAGCGTCCATCGTTCGTTTCAAAAGCCATAGTTCCTTCATCCATGTCCAATATAACGCGAAATTTGTCAGGTACCACAAAGCTATGATCATTGTCTGACAAAACTGGATACTTGACTGACGAAACGTTCTTTTCGTTATGGTAAAGCTTGTTTCTAACAATGTCCCATCCCCAACTATCCTCGTTGTTGCCGACCAGCGATTGATAGCCAGTACAGTGAAGAAGGGCTTTTGATGTAGCTACCCCTACCACTGCGTGTGTCCCACGTTGTCGTGTTGACCACTGAATCTCCCAGACATGAAATCCTCGACTATAACCCTTTTTTCCTCGTATGCAGTCCGTACTCTGTGCTACTGGATGTCTGTGAAAGGTAAACGGGTCGTCGTCCTTGACGAAAATGTTCACCGATCGATCATTCGGGTTCCAAGCATGTTCTGACAAAGCCTCTTCCGGTAGAGGAGGACGATCGAGTAAAATGTCTAATTTTTCTGGTCTCGCCAAGTCTCTAGCCCGATCTTCTTCTTGAAAGACGTTGAGCGATTTATAAACTCCTTGTCTATTGTCATTGTGGTCGTTCCTTTTCACGGCCGATATTCTTGATCCCATGTCGAGAAAGGGATAGTAGAAGAGAGAAGTGTAACTGGGATGTAAAGGATCCAACGTGGAGGCTTGACGCACTCTTGTAAATATTCTCAAGTAGGTTTCTCGGGTTGATCACTGGTTCTAAGTTCTTCCTATCATTCAAACTTTCTTAGAGTCAAGATTTCACAACTTTTCCTCCGGTCAAAAATTTTTCGAGCGTCCCGACTTGTTTCAAAAGAACGTTCTATTCAACGGAATCAAAACACGCATGAAATACGTGCGTGCTTGTCCAAATTGACTCACGTAATTTCTCGCTGAATGTGGTTGGCTTTAACTAAGACAGCGGTAAATTCTTGGCTAAACTTTAGAAGACGAATTTTGTAACTTACCAGTTCTTCTAAAAAATGAATGAGAGTTTTTTCCGACACTCCTTTCAAGCGACCGATGAATGACCTTTGTTGTGCTATGAAAATGTTCAGTACAATGTTATTTATATCCTCGAACATATGAATGGAGAGCTTCACGCATGCGTCATAGCCAGTCAAGCGTGAATGGCTTACAACGTGTATTACACGAGTTTCATACCGACTTCCGGTTTGCGTGAAAACGCGTTCTCCCGGAAACGGGAATAATCATGGGGCCGTCTGTTGTCCGTGTTCAACGCTTCAATGAAATAAAAGCATTTTTCATTTTCGAGATGAGAAACTGAAAATTATCATTCTCTAACAAGATTATGGGCGCGTTAAAACGAGATTTCCCCAAAGATTCTTTTTTTTTTTGTTAAATTCGAAACCGAAGCGAATTCCATTCAACTGTTATCAGCGTCAAAGTTGTATGGCAATCAATATTTAATCGTTCAATAGCAAGGAGGACATTGACTCTAAGTGAAACAGGTGATTTTAGCACAGGTTCAATAGAGCATAAGAATAACATGTGTTCGCTGTGTACAGCAGAACGACCAAAACGGTAAAGTAAACTGTTGTAAATTTTAGTTCAAATCATTTGTTACTTAATCGTGTGGCTTATTTTCGATCAATCATGGCATGACTTAAAACCTGTTTCGTGACCAACAGAATAAGCATAAGGAACTGATAATCCAAGGTTTTATCGAACCGGTGATCATGGCTAAAAGCAGTTAAATTTTTTCTACAATGCTGAACGCATGAATGAACTACACGCAATCGAATGATAAATTGCAGAAGTCCTTTGCACTTACCTCAGCCTTCACTTATTACGTTCATGTTAAATTTTGCCTAAAATTCGTGAAATGATTAAAAAATTACGGTTAGTTGCTTTTTTGATGAGGACATGTTCTTCAGAGCAAAGGAAATCCAAAAGGATGAAAAAGTATCCTCCAGCGCCTAAAGTAATCGTCAGTTTTGGCGTAATAAAATGTCGTCCAGACGATCGCTGTGCATTTAACTGCAAAACACTCCTCACTTCCCCTTCGTCTCCATGCCCATTTAGTCCCAACCCTCCCCTACAACATTCGCAGGTCATACTCCCCGACAAATTTGTGACTTGAGTGTAATACGCGCGCGTTCTGCGTGGGTTTTTCATGTTTGCGTGAGTTCAAGTTGACGTCATTCGGGCGTTGCGGTCGACGTGATGAAATTCCCGCTCGGACGTAAACATTGCCGCTTCGAGAAACACTACAAAGTAGCGAAGGTTTCTCTTGGGTATAAATCTCTCCAGAAATTTTGATTTACAGTCCGTATTATTGAAAATGATGGATAGGAAAAAATCCTTGATCTTCGTGATCGAAGATTTGATCACGAAAATTCATTGAGACGTGACATTGCATGATTGCAGTCATGTTTGCTAAACTGATCCCATATTTATCGGGGTCACGGTTTCCATGACATTCAAGAACCTACTCGTAAGTTCGATTTGGAGTTTACAATTTCATCATATAATGCCGGCTGTATCACTATTCGGATAAGTTTTCATCTGGGACAGCAATGAACAAAACCAAATTCGTGACTTTCACTTTACTTGCGTGTAACGATTTCATGACTGCGATAAACGAACCGTTGAATATATAATCAGTTCATACAAACTGAGACAGAACGGAAAACAGAAGGAAGACAAGTATTGCGAACCACGCAACTCTTGTTTATCATTTGTAGTAGGTGTCATGTTCTGAATAAATTGGAAAATATTATCGGCCACCGTTGGCATATCATTTCGAGCGTTGCTGTTGAATCGGAGATAGAAGGTGTATTTAAGATAAATTTCGGACATTGCGTGACCAGAACGTGTTCGTCAATATGTAGTATAATATGAGTTTCTAAACTCTTAGAAAGCCACTTTGATTGCACAATAATGGAGGATTATGCTCTTATCTGCAAAAATACTTTACTGAAGCTATTTTGGGAGCTCAGTTGCATAGGTGTATCGACTCACAACCCTCGAATAAGGAATTATGGTCGGGACTTTCTTACGAGACAAATGTGACCTTTAGCTTCAACACGACGTGATCCACTCAGGCTTTCGTAGTAATCACGTCTCTCATGAGTCCTACCACCCTAACCTAAAACGCATCGTTCTCAAGCGTTTTGGTTTGGACGGAAGGCCAAAACGTATTGAAAAGTAACCGCTTCTAAACAAAAACGCATGCAGGTGTGGTGGGCTCTTCAAGGCCCTACAAATACCAAATTGCAATCACACAACCATAAAAATAGTGAAATGTTCGGTCAATTTAATGACTCGGTGAAGAAGCTTTTGAGCGAGAAAAATTAGGGTTGATAAAATTGTATAATTATTATTTTACTTGAAAAACGAATCATACGAATAATGATGCTCCTGTCAAACGCAGATTCAGTACTAAGCAGTAGTGCATTCAGAAACTAAATAGCTGCCTTAATTTGTATGATAATGAACTGTCAACCATCAAAAGGATTACGATTTTACTGTCTAGTATGTGACAGTCGGCCGTCAAAGACACCTCAATTTCCATTGAGATGTTCTCACGTCAAAACCACATGCATACCATCATAAGTGTGCGTGGTTTCTATTTGTCCGGCCATGTAATAAGACTGCATCCAACGAAATCCAACGCGATTTTTTTAACAGATTCACTAAATAACCAAGTTGACGTTATGTATCAGTAAATTCAATGTCTTACTATTGATCATCTCAGGCAGAAGAAACCTCGAATGCACAACAATTTTGGTTTCTCTTCATCCGAAGGAGCAATCGCATATGATCTGAGCACAGGATTCTTTGTTGTTTTTTGTCTTAGTTCATGTGCATAACTTTTTTTTTAACCTGACTTTTCTTCCCTTTGCACTAATTTGTCCCCGAGTCTGCACACAAAGAAACGGTGAATCCGAGGAGAAAGGAAGCGCTTGACCAGTCAAGCGTTGAGTGAGGTGAGCCAGTGGACTCCATCAGACTGTCCTTCATATCTTACGATCTCAATTATCTTTAGAAATCACGTGGAACCCTCGGAACTCGGAGCAACTTCTCCCCTTTCCAAGTATATAATAATTGGAGATAACGGAAAGAGAGTTGATTGTACTTTGTTTTCAGTGTGAACCCCGATGCTGCCAATAGAGAGATTTAGCACCGAGTTTACGTGGTCGTGAAAGGTGAACGGCAACAGTGACCACGTGACCTTGTTTTCCCGCCATTTTTTTCACGTTTGCGGGTTGCGCTTTGCCGTTTCAGTACGCGAAAGTAAAGTGTTTCGCGTTTGCCGTGTACATAAGATTTTCAGTCTTCTCTTTTCTCTCCTAGAGTAGAGGTTAATTGCCGGAAAAAGGGCACCGAAATTATTCCTTGCACGTCATACAAGGGCGCCTTCGAATGCACCCTAACATGAGCTCACGCGAAGTTAAAGCAGCAAGATTCACGCTGTTTTACGTGAAACGCAAAAGGGCAAGCTGTTTTTTTCCTCTTCGCGTGAAGGTGGTGCTAAATCTCACAAATGTCTCTAATGACTCGCAAACAGTCGACCGATGGTTCCTTCACGGCACGGCGGTGTCACAAAGCGGTCAGCGGTAGTTACGTATACTCTCTCTCTCTCTCTCCCACTAGATCGACCGAGTGGAACAGAGTGGAACTCAAAGTAAAGCTAACTCACGTCGTAACACTTTGTTCAGTACTAAAGCTATGGGTGAGAAAAAGCTAGGGTACATTCCAAACTATGCCAGATTCATCATGGGTGGATCAGCTGGGTGAGTATTGATTTGGCGCTCATCTGAGTGAGGTGAATACCCACAAGATCGCGACCAACTTGCAATCGCGCGCCAGTTGTCATGAATATGAAGTAATTGTACGTGGCACTCTCTTTTGTTTGATATCAATTTCAAGGTTTTCATGGTTTACCACGTAACGCATCGTGCATGTGTAAATGTGAAGTTGATCAAGAGATCAACAACCTTTGTTTAATGTTATTCTGAAATGATCAGACAGTTCGTCTGTTGTTTCACATGATAATCTTGTGATAAATAGAATCTCAGTTGGTTACTATTGTACATCGTTACCCTTAACTTCGCTAGGTTTAGATATTGCTGACTCAGGGTCGTTAAAACCTACCTGATGCAGGACTCTGAGTATATTGCTATATGTTGTTGTTTATGTGACACTACTTGATCAATCGAATTACACTTATTTTGATGCGCGCTAGTTAGAAATAGACAATCCGACATGAATAGATGTCACTAAAATCACAGGCGGCCCAAGCGTACTGTGTGTGATTTTGGGGTCTAAAGGTTATCAACAGGAATATATAACAGATTAAGATTGAATTTTAAGCATAAGCATGGGCCCTTAAAAAAAAGCGAATTAGCGTACTGTGTGTGATTTTGGGGTCTAAAAGTCATCAACAGGAATATACAACAGATTAACATTGAATTTTAAGCATAAGCATGGGCCGTTAAAAAAAGGAAAACTATTAAAAAAATTAAGAACAATTAAAAAGGATAATTAAAGGGAGGAATATAAAGCATGAAGTCTCCTTACCTTTTTTCCGTAGCCACTTTGTCGTTTACAGCCCTATCAATGCTGTTTTGGCGACTTTCTTTGTAACACACATGGTGCTTCCAAATACCAACTGTCGCCACTTGAAGGCCGATAAATTCCACAAAAGTGGACTGATCTCCCTCAAATTTCCACTTGCAAGAGTGCTTTGCTAATACCTACCTGTTCCAGTGGCAAAAGTCTCCAAATTCCGCTGCATCCATCGGAGAGCGGCTCTGTTTTACCACCCATTCTGACTAAATTGCTTTGTGGGATTCAAATATCAAAGTGCATCTGACCAAATAAAGACTCTCCAGGGGATCAATGGAAATGTTGTTACATTTGCTATATTTTCAAACAACACCATCTGGGGAGTCATGCATGTAATTCACTCATAGTAAGGGCAAAAGGATTGCACATCCTACAAAGCAATTTAACCAGAATGGGTGGTAAAACAGAGTAGCTCTCTGATTGATGCAGTGGAATTTGGAAACTTCTGCTGCTGGAACAGGTAGGTATTAGCAAAGCACTCTTGTGGGTGGAAATTTGAGGGAGAGCAGTTGACTTTTGTGGAATATATCAGCCTTCAAGTGGCAACAGTTGGTGTTCAGGACCAGTTGAAGTTTCTAGTCTTGTGTTTTTCTGTGTACAGTTGACTGGTAGCACCACACATGTTACAAAGAAAGTTGCGAAAACAGTGTTAATAGGACTGGTTAGCAGGCTAATTACCACTATCAGTGTATTCTTTCTCTCAAATATCTTTGTGGTCACTGCAGTTTCATATAGTTGAAATTTGAAACTTTTACCAGGTCCAGTTAGTGTAACTGTATGTGTGTATTAGATCACGCACTTGTTCTATTGATAGTTATCAAAAAGCTTCTATCACATGACCAACATTTGATTTCATAGGTCTGTGTTTGATTTTCAATAACAGGCTAGTTTTTGTGACAGTTAGAGGACCTGCCATTATTCAACAATCAAATGCTTTGTTTGTGGGCAAATACACTATACTTAAGGGAAACAACAGCATCTTTGTAGGTTGTCATTTTAAACCAGCTTGTGTAGAAGCACCAATGAGAGCATGGTAGCAACCTAAAACTGAATGTGTTAGACTGAGTGTATACTTCTCTAAGGAATAGGATTTCTTTTTGTAATTGGTTGAAATAGAGATTGTTTTCTACTGGTGAAACAACCTTAATGGAGATGACAGTGAGCCCTTCAACCTAATAGCATAGTGACTGAATTGACCAATCAGACAATGGGTTGTATGTTCATTATGTTATAAAAGCAAATATGATCCTTCTTTGGTGGGCTCTGTCCCAGTGACAGACTCTTTCTGAATGTCTGAGTATTCCTTAATGATTGGTGCTTAGTTCTACTACTACAATGATCACCACAATGACAATGGTAGAGCGTCTGGTTTTAATTCACCAATGATGGCTGTGTTGTTGTCAGTGAGCCAAGTCTCATGAAGAGCTTGCATATCTACTTTACTGTCATATGTAGAGTCCAGAAACATTTGTAAATTTTTCCTTTCAAGTTAGAATTGGCACTTGATTCCTGGGTTGATACACTTGTGTGTGATAAACACTGAAACCATATAAGATCTTTTCTTACTTTATTCTTTTCCTATTCTTTAAGGCATTCTTATATCGAAGCGGTCAACTGAAATCAGTACATGAAGAAATTACCTGTTGTATTATGTGATCTTAGCTTTAAGAGTAATGTCAATATGGGCAACAAGCACCTGGCAATTAAAGGAAACAAGAAGAGTAAAAATCTAGTGATAAGTTTCACTTTGAATCACAACTACAAGTTAACATAATCACAAAATAACTTGTTACTTACCAATGTTCGTGGTCTTGACTACTTTATCCAGTATTATGGTCTAACTCATCTTCTGTTTTGAAACAATCTTGATTACCCCAGGTCTTATTTTGAACCGATACTTTAACCTTAATTTTTTTTCTAAAAGGAACTAATCATGGAGGCGTTTATCAAACCTGAAAATATTTTGCAGCTTCTCTTGGAAGCAGTAACACTCAGCTTTAATGGAAGTGGCTATAATGCTACTAACTTATTGTCCAAAGAGCTTGCCTTGCAAATGGACAGCAATAATTGCTGCATAACATTTTGATAAAGTTAAGCCTATTAAGCAACCACTTTGCCATAATAAGATTGTGGAGGAAAACACTCACAATCTACATCAATGAAATTGCAGTTTGACAATAGCTACCTTAATCAGGAGAGTAGCCAACTGCTTACTGAGAGGTTTAGAGTTCCAGCCTTAAACTGACTAGACCAACATTCTGGGTCTCACAACAACAAAGGAGAATGTGCTGTCTTTGCATTGATCTCAAGATATGTGTGGACATCCTAGACTCTTGAATGAGAACTGTATGGGGTAGGCCCTGTCTCTTGTATATTTAAAGTTAATAGATTAAAGAGCTGGTTAGAGTTATTGTAGAACCTAATCAAATGTGCTATTCCTAAAGATAAATGCATAAAACTAAATGTATCCCTATGGTTACGAGGTAGTCAGTCTGTGTCACAGCTGGTCTACATTAGATTTTGACTGCTAAATTACAATATGCTCAATCAACTTGACAAAATGGGTGAACAATTGGATAGTTTCACAGAAATCAAGTATTTGAATTTATTAATATGATTATTATTATTGTTATTATTATTTACTAGAATGGGTGCAACTGTGTTTGTACAGCCACTGGATTTAGTCAAAAACAGGATGCAGATGAGTGGTGAGCACATATTTGTTATTTTTAATTTTAAACTCCAGATATTGCATTTCCAGTGTTCTTATTGGTCCACTCAATTACAGTTATCAACCCATATGAAGAATGATTTATGCAAGGGTTGCTAAGCTGCATTTACTTTTGGCTTAAAACAAACACTTCTCCAATGTAGTGTGGATAATTTAATTTAATAAAACAGTTCCATTCTTGCTCGTTGGATACGAAATTGATTGGCTATAGCTACTTCAGCGCTATGCCCCTGTTGGCTATTAACCATCTCATATCCGACGCACGTTCAAGGAATAATTGCAAAATGAACATCTCAGTCAGTTACATCAATTTCATTTAAATTTTGTCTGAATTAAATTTTGTTTCCCATGTGATATCATCTGAGGTTTCTTATTCATAAGGATTTAAGCTTATCTTGGATTATAATAACCAACTGAATGTTAATTCCTTTCTAGTTTTATGGTAATGTTGGATTAATGTAGCAGTTGGCAAGCTAATTGGAAAGGCAATGATTATTTTTCAGTGTTGTAAGAGGTGTTCAGAAATTGTCACTATGGAACAGTTATAAAGTTGGACTTTAGGAGGTTAATATTGATACACTATACCCCCACATACAGGGAGCCTTGTCTTTAAATATTTCAATTGCTTGTTGACCTGTCAGCATTACGTGTGTCTCATTATTTGTCTAGGGGTTGGTGGTGCTGCAAAAGCTCACAAAAGTAGTCTACATGCAATTGCCTCCATTCTGAGACAAGAAGGAGTTTTTGGTGTCTATAATGGGTTAGTTCTTGAATAAGGAGAATATCTCACCTGTGGTCTTTGTAACTATTATATTTTGCTGTGTTTGATAACTCAACTGTCTCTTTGTGACATGAATGACTTTCAGGCCTGGAATAAGTTAACATTTTTCTGTACAGATTATCTGCTGGTCTGTTAAGACAAGCAACTTATACAACAACACGACTGGGTGTGTTTACTTCACTCATGGAAAGATTTAAGAGGTTGGTGAAACAAATTTAAAGTTTTCCAAACAGTGTCAGAACTCTCTGAAACGTTACTATAAAGATAGTCCTTAGATCTACATGTACACCATACCCTGACAGGGGTTTCAATAAGTTTTGAAGTAGATGGCAAAAACTGCAAAGTAGGCAGCTAATGGAAGCATGATTTCTACTCTATTGTTGTTGATTTCAGGGAAAACAGTCCGTGATTTTGCTTGACACAGACTACAAATTTTACCAATTGCTGGCTCTCATTGAAACCCCTGTCTGGAAAGCCTGTCACAATGCTCCTTTTTATGTGTTTTACAGCACATCAATGCTTGACTGAAGTGTTTTCAAATAAGTAGTAATCAAAGTCTTTGTATAAAGAGCTTGAAATGATTAATAAATATTTCTGCTCTCTTAAATTCTGACACAAGTTTTGGCATAAAAGCACTTTCCTTATCATCATGTGGTTTGAGGTGAATTGGAAAATGAAAATTGTCAAATCTGCTCAAAATAGCACTATAGAATTATAAATGCCAGGCCCTGTTTCAAATCCCAGATCCATTCACTTATCATGATTATGACAGTGTTTTCTGTGCTGAAGATGTAACTGTGTGTCAGATTCATATTTCACACATATGGGGATCTTTCTGACCTTTTTTTAAAACATTACTTAATTACTAAACCTTGCTGTCCTTCCATGTCATGGCCTTGTCCAGAATAAAGAATTTGTTGTTCATCCTTAACTAAAAATAGGCCATTTCACAGTTGTGTACTTAGTTGCCAAGCCTTTGATTTAGAGTGAGGCTATCAGTGTAGATGGACCAGCAAGGTGAACTTGCAGGCCAAAGGATGGGGGCCCTCAAGTATGCTTCCTAATTTCCCACTTTCCTTGTTTAATTATTAACGGGCAGTTAATATAAAAATTTTATCTCTTATATTGTGCAAATAAGCTACACATAGTTAACTGTTTGGAAAAGTATCTAGATTGACATTTTTATGTTTTGCCTTGAATGACTTCAATTGTGTGTTTTGTTTTGTTTAGTCCTGATGGAACTCCACCCTCTTTCATCATGAAATGTGCTCTAGGTTAGTGTTTCTGTTTAATTGTCATTACACCAGTTGCACAGGTCAGGGCTCGACATTAACTTTTCAACTTACTAGCCAAGTGGCTAGTGGTAACTTAGATGTTACGACAATTTCAGTTTGTTTACTAGCCAAATTGGCTAATGGAAATCAAAAACCACTGGCCAAAACTGAATTTTTACTAGTCTGTGGCTAGTAGGCTACCATAATTGTCAAACCCTGTAAGTGGTAAGCTTCCACAATTTAATTTTTATCTAATTTGGGGGATTAGTGCCTTGTTAAACTGTGAAAGGTGTAAACATGTTTAGCTGTTTTTGACAACATGTAGCCAAACAAGGGTAAAAGTGGCACAGGTTCTTGAATTGTGCAAGTGATTGTAAGTTGTAAAAGTATAAAACTGTATTTTAGTACATATACATGATTCCAGTTGTAGGGTTGATTACTATTATCAGTTACTGATGTGGGGAAGACTTGTGCAGTCTCACCTTCAAGAAAAAATTCTTTATATAGCAAGTGTATTTATTAGAACCTAACATTGCTGAATTTTATTCAACTTTGCTTGGTACAAGTGAAAGTTTTTAAAACTGAAGGGTGATCATTGCTTTAATACAGGAATGACAGCTGGAGCCGTGGGCTCATTTATTGGTACACCAGCAGAGATATCCCTCATACGAATGACTTCAGATGGGAGGTGCGTTACTAAGACTGTTCATATAGACCTTAAACGTTATAAGAAATCTAGATGCAGATAATACAATCATTGGTATTGTAAGTGGATTTTTTTTTGTGGCATATTTTTTGTTCTACATATATGACAATGAGAGTTGTAACTCACCAAGACTGGACTCTGCATTGTTCACTTAGTGATGAGTATTATAATTGTGTAAAGAAAGTATCCAAATCTAACTTGACAATCTTTTTTATCCTCCCTCTCTAATTGAAACCATGTGGGTGCAACAGTGCACTGTTTGCTCCTTGAGTGAGAGGACTGCTAAAAACTACATTTTTTAAACTACAGGTCACGTTTGCTTGTAGATTTTGGTAAGCGTAAGTGACTTTTATTAATCAGCTTTTATTCAAACGAATTTCTTATGAAAGCTGACGTTACTTACAAGAGCCCATCACCAGAGATGCACTAGTGGAAATAAGAAGGAAGAGGGGGAAGTAACATAGAACCCTTGAATTACTGAAACTACGTCTATTCACCACCGTAAAAAATATTTTTAAAAATGCAGACAGTTTGTTTGCTCACCTCTCTTTTTTTGAGCAAAGATGTTTTGCTGCGATCAAGCATTAATAACCAATATACAAAAGTAGAAAATAAAGAAAAATTATGCTGCCCTTCAACTCAACTATCCTGGAAACTGCTTGTTAATAGGCATGACTGGACCAATTCTGTTGACGTAAATTCTTTACTGTATTTAACAGGCTTCCGGTAGAACAACAGCGCAAATACACAAGTGTGTTTAATGCCTTGTACAGAATAACTAAAGAGGAAGGAATTCTGACTCTTTGGAGGGTAAGAATGATTTGATACAAACGGATTCATTAACCCCAGCATGCTGTTTATGTATTTGCTAATCCAACTTAATTTAAGGGCTGTAAAATGTTGACAACCCTTAGCTTAACAAAGCTCATTTGTAGATATCTGGCAGACAGGCGTCTCAGTGCTTTACTTTATTTTGTACTCTTTTGTAGGGATGTGGGCCAACTGTTGTTCGAGCTGTTGTTGTGAATGCAGCACAGCTGGCGACATACTCTCAAGCTAAACAAAGCTTACTTTCCACAGGTTTGTTGAAATTATAGAATCCTTTCAGCCCTAATGACTTCTAACTGCGGACATGTTATTAACCCAAAAGAATTTAAAACCCTAGTTTCCTTACTTTTCAGTGCCTTTAACAAGATCTTAAATACATGACATAATTTTTATGTGTGATGGTGCATTTGGCGTGCAGAAGTAAAACGTCCGTGTTTATATGAGATGATCACGTATAGGATTTTAGGTCACTTTTCTGCACCTCGAGCTTACTATAAGATCATATTAGTTTTGAAATAAATTTAAACATTATTGTTTGTGTTTTCAGCTTATTTTAGAGATGATTTGCTGTGCCACTTCGTAGCCAGTATGATAAGTGGTTTGGCGACTACGTTAGCTTCTATGCCTGTAGATATCGCCAAGACTAGGTTAGTGAAAACTATTCTTGTTAAAGTTAAAGAAATTGAGTATATACGTATTCATCTTAGAGTTGCTGTAGAATTATAACCCGAGAGAATTAGAAGGATTTGGTAGCAAAATAACATTGAAACTTTCATTTTTAAGTAATTGTTTTAATAGCGTTTGAGTCATTACGCATTACTCATTTCAACCTTTTCGTAGGATTCAAAATATGAAGATTGTCGATGGAAAACCTGAATATCGTGGAGCTCTGGTAAGGGTCTGTAAAGTTAATTATCTCAAGAAATGCGATGAACCCTTTTCGAATATTATTATTTATCTGTAGCCACTTTTGTGTTCAAAGTCCATCAGACATGTATTTTATCTTTTTCTTTTTCCAATTTCTTTCACACATCTATAGCCGGAAGGCCCAATTTCCCTCTACCGGCGGCAAGTTTTTGGTCCTCACAGTAATCCACAAGTAGACTCTGAAGTGGAGAAAAAGCGTGGTGAATTACTTAATATTATTTCTCTCTTTTGCTTTTGTTTCAGGACGTTTTTGTAAGAGTGATCCGTCAGGAAGGGATTTTCGCGTTGTGGAAAGGATTTACACCATACTATTTCCGTCTTGGTCCGCACACCGTTCTAACGTTTATCTTCCTCGAACAGTTTCAAAGGCTGGCAAAAAGCTACTATGGTGTGTCTGGTGGCAGCGGTCTTTGAAAATAACTCGGCTTGCCAGTGAAGAATGATTCTTGTACAGCTGGTGTTTTAGCTTCTGAATGACGTGAAGGAATAATCTGACAGAGGAAGAATTTACTTATAAGTTTAATAATGTTAAGGCGATGTTCATTGCAAATGACTGTGCAGAATTAACTTCAATGACGAGTAAGACTTCAAAAACCTATAGGTACGGTGATGGTCTCTGTCTTGGACAGTGAACTCAACTTGTGTTATTCTGAAGATGCAGGATTCAAAAAGTGTGACTTGAAAACTCCATGTCTGCAAACACTTAATGACTGTATGAAACTCTTCTCTGAGTAACTTATTGATAAATTTTTGTGATGTTGGTATTAAATTGGCTATGTTTCATAGCTTCAGCGATCATTTCTTCAAAAACAATTGTCTTTGTATACGAATGTCAATATTTACTTAACATCTCAGACCAAGACTTCGATGAAACCATGTGGTTATATCCTCATTATTTGTTTACTTCCGTCGATTTTGTCATTTTGTGGACAAAGGCACTCATCAAATTAAAAGTTATCGTTCATGGCTTTGAAACTCAGTAATTAAAAGACAAATTTCACGCAAATGTAATTTGGCTCAAGAAGTTGTCAGATGAAGACGATAACGGATTAGATGTGCATGCAAAAAAATCTGAGTGTCTCATTTGAATCTGGTAAACTCGAGCGATTCTAATCTGTTCTTGAGACACAATTCTGTGATCATTTACCCATCCTCATTCACCCTCGTCTGCATAATATAGTTGTGCTTTCGATGCATAGTTTTGTAATTTGTTTGGTGGAAGGAACTAAAATTTCAGAAATGAAGAACATACAAGACAGCTTTTTGGGTTTCAAAAAATCGATAAAACCAGGATCAAATATTCTCTTATTAAAGAATAATAATTGCATTTATTATTCGTTCATGTCACACAGTTTCAGCCAAAAACGAAATTTTAATACGAGATTGAGTTTTTCGGTTTATGGCGAGGGTCGAGTAAAGCTTTGACAAAAGTTGGAAAATTTTAATCTATTACCATTAATATGGACATTTGCTGCGTAAAATATAAGATAACAGTTAACAGTCTATACAAAATAATTTACTGACCTGTATCCTCTCGGCATTATTACGAAAGAGTCTTTATCTTTGAGGCGCCAAGTAACAAGCTTTGCTAGTAAGTGTTTTATTTCTTTCGAGAAAAAGCGATTCAAATTTTCCATGGAAAATATCCTTAATAAGAAACATTTGTTTTTTGCAGCTGTTTTTAAGCTTGTTAACTTAGTTTGTGTTGTAAGTTATCTGGTGGTTACAGAACAGAAGCGTGGTTAAATTTTTTTTCCAGTAAACATTCAATCAAATGAGTGTCACAGCATTTGCACAACAAACCATTAATCTGAGAGAAAATTCAGAGAACGCCTTCGAACCGTTAACCATGAGAACAAGAGAAATTCAAGTATTCGTATAAGAACATTGTTATCAATTACTCTGACATAATTAGCTATTAATTAGTTGCACAGATTGGATGAAGTATCAGAGGTGAACCGCAAGTTGCTGAAAAGGACATTGATTTTCTCAGCATAAAACTGATTTGAACCAATGACGAACCACTTACTTTGTTAATGAAAGAGTAAGATAACTTGCATTTCACTGTAGAACTTCTGACGGAGCGGTCTTTGTGAAACAAGCGTCCAGCGTAATGACACATATGTTTATTACGAATGAGCTCATGAATTTCAAATGACTTTTAGCTTTTGAAGGAATGAGAGCGTTACAAATACATAATTAGAGTACCAGAGACGAGTTGGACATGGAAAGACTTCGCATTACAGGCCAGAGTTCTAACGAAAATGAAGCAGAAGTGGTGGCAGTCAAGAACAGAGATGACAAGTTCTGTCATGAAAGGATCGATTGGAACGCTGTAAACAGAGGGCCAAGGATTGTTATAAATGTTTCTGGGCAGCGATACGAGACTTACGAAAAGACGCTTGAATTATTTCCTGATTCACTTCTTGGGGATAAAGAAAGAAGAAAGGACTTTTACGATCCTGTTAATAATGAATTCTTTTTTGACCGTAACCGTATTTGCTTCGAGTCGATACTAGCTTACTATCAAACAAACGGAATTCTTATTATGCCGCCAAGTATTCCACGGAAGGTATTTCTAAGCGATGTTCGCTTCTTTGATCTCGGACAAAAGGCTTTGCTTCAAGCTGGTGAAGGACTGGAACAGCCTGTCGAACAAAATAAACGACTCTTACCAAAGAACAAAATACAGAGAAAAGTATGGGAGTTGTTTGAACATCCAGACACTTCGAATTTCGCACGAGGAATCGCCATTTGGTCCGTTTGTATAATTATATTATCAATAGCTCTTTTCTGCGTAGAGACTTTGCCGCAGTTTCAGGAGGAGCCATCCAAAACAATTAATGGCACAGTCATTTCGTTTGCATCGAAAAAGAAAACAGATAACCCATTCTTCCTCATTGAAGCATTTTGCATCACCTGGTTTACATTAGAGTATGTAATTCGTTTTATTTTTAGCCCAAACAAGTGGAAATTCTTTATTTCAGTGTTAAATATGATTGACTTGGTTTCCATTATACCGTTCTATATAACTTTGCCCATGGAGGATTCAGGTAACGTTTCGTCACTCGCAGTTCTTCGCTCCGTCCGTCTCGTGCGAGTCTTTCGGATTTTCAAACTGTCGCGTTACTCGCGTGGACTTCAAATTCTGGGACACACTCTGAGGGCGAGCTTGAGAGAGCTAGGCCTTCTGTTCTTCTTCCTCTGTATGGGAGTTGTTCTGTTCTCCAGTGCTGTCTACTATGCAGAAATCAGCAATGAGGATGAAAATGATTTCCTGAGCATTCCTCATTCATTTTGGTGGGCGATTATAACCATGACTACTGTGGGCTATGGAGACATAACACCCAAGACTCTCGGTATGTACCTTAGTTGACTGGCTCTAAATATTTACTCTCAAAGTTTGTTATTTTCTCATCATTGAATGCATCGTGGCTCTTGACACTGATTACTCTATGCAACTTTGTGTCATAATTCAAGAAATAACACGTGGAAATAACACAAATTATGAGAATTGAATAGGGGTCAAGGTATCTCCGAATGACACTTTGTTTTAATCCATTGTCTACGTCTGTAGGTAGAATCCAAACTGACCTTCATTTCTAGATCATCAAAAGACTAGCGTCTAAAATGAGAACAGTTGTAAGAATAACCGAAGCCTAAAATTACCAGTTAACAGTGCTTGCTTTTGGAGGGAGGAAGTTTTTCTTTCAATAACTCCACGCTTCAACTGATTTTCACACGAAATTAAATTATCCAAATCTTCATCGCTAAGTATAACCTGGCGCTCTACGATTTTTTGAAACAATGCATTATTTACTTTAAATGTCACCTATTTTGAATGTGTAACTGTGGGATATGACATTCATAGGGAAAGAGCCCTTACGAATAAAAACAATGCTCGGCGGCAGTCTTTTGCAGAAAGTCGTGTATCTCATACGGCGATAAGCCTGATAAGTGACTTTCACTTAATTAAGGATCCAGTGAACCTCTCACATAGGAGTGATCTGTCGAACGTGAATGTTTATTTAGGTACAGAGTGTAATCAAAATAAGGTGTAAGAACATCAGAGATTCTGATGCACTCTACAAACAGGCCACTTAAATTGTTAAGTACGTTCCTAGACAAAAACAAATAGAGTCCTTTAAATTTTCTCCCCAAAATACCGGCATACTGCTCTCATTTTGGTAATCAGTATCCTTTGGTAGGTTCACCCTGGTTGTGCTGTCAACCATTGCATTTCCAGAGGGCTTGGTAAACCCGCAATTCATACCGCAAGAACATCCACCAGCTATTTAATTCTCATTGTTTTATGTACGTTCTAGGAGTAATGGCTTCGACCAGTTCTAATCTAACAACAATTAGAGCATTTGATTTTGCGTCGTGTTAAGTGTAAACTTCCTTAATTTAAGCCGTTAAGCCGACAACTTTGAGTTCGCACGAATTTCTGAGAATTGAAGCGAAACTGAAAGAAATCTCTCAGTTTATGTTAACATTTTGCAGTCCAGAACACTAATTAATGCCCGTCTTCATGATTTACTCATGGCAAGTGGGCTGTTGGAATCTCCCAGCCAGTATAGATGTAAGGGTTAAGGAACCCTAATACAATGCGAAAGTTCACGAGTGCAGAAACTAATGGGGTTTTGGAGCACAGGAGACCGCTGACTTTCAGGCAACATTTTGTTTTTCTTTGATCTCGGTATGTATTTGAAATGGGGTGGAGTGAAGATGAGTATTTGAAGACTGAGCAGTAATACTGCTAGTTCTAGAGAAGTAAAATTTTACGGAATTAACTTTGGGGCTTTAGGGAGCAGGGAATGGAGTAAATTTTAAGGGAATATAGCAACCTCTCTCTCTCTCTCTCTCTATCTCTCCCTCTCTCTCTCTCCAGTCTCTCTCTCCTTCTCCTTCCTTCACCGGACCTTCAGCAGATATCAGTTTTCAGTTATTCGCAATTTCCTTTTCTCGTTTCAGTGTAGCAAGAAGTTTTGGCATGCAGAAAGCTTTTTAAGCATCCGTTATAAAGTAACTTGCTGTGATTTTTTTATTTCTCATTCGCTTTTATCTTTTCATCACCAACCACGACTTACTTCCCATCGCCTGATTCGCCTTCAGTTTTTCCTTGGTTGACCCTTTGTAATAGTTACGGTAACTTGAGGCTGGCTTGTCTCGCTAAGTTTTGGCTTTCTCGTCGGCTAAGTGCGTGACCTGTGAAACGCCATTTTCTTGTGAAACTTACGTGTTTTCACGGACTCGTTACTGGATCACTTACGAGAAGGTACTTCTTAGAATCGAAAACCTATAGCTCAGACTTTAAATTATAGTAACTGAAATCGGTATTTGTAACCTCCACTGTCACATTTAGATATAACGCCCAAAGATTAGGTGACTCCCAAACCGTCCAATGTTCCCTTTCAGTAGGCGATCATTTGGGGATGCACTATAATCAGCATTCTCCCATCCTTGGGTAAGGCTTGCAGCTGCTCGCTGAAGCGAGTAGACTCGAGTTCTTTTCACGACCAACCTTTCTGACGTAGAACCTGTCTTGCATCATTGTACATTCCCTCATCTCCCTATGCTTCATTCTATTAATTGTATCAAATGAAATGATTCATCTGATAATTTGTTTCTTTTCTCATCGTAACAAACAAATTATCGCAATGATGTAAAACGTCTAAACGCGAACTGAGGCGGACATACTGGTGAAAGAGCGTGCCCCTTGATCCACCAAGCACCTGCTAGGCAAGCCTGTGGTGGATGAAGGCTTCTTTTATTTTTCTACATTAAGAAAAAGTTATCTCAGGTAGCTTATCGGGTTTTCATAGTTGTCATTCAACAACTATAGGAAAAATAAAGTGAGTACAATTTAAAATGTTAGATTGCAAGCCCTTCAAAGTATCATACTGAGTGTAGAGTTGCTTGTCTGTGAACTAGCGATTGACTCCTTCTATTGCTCACTTTATGCTACAGGTGGGAAGTTAGTTGGCTGTTTCTGTGCCATCACAGGTGTATTAGCCATTGCTTTACCAGTGCCAGTCATAGTCTCGAACTTCGCTTACTACTACTCCAAAGAGAATGATGGAAGTCATTCAAACATGAATGATGAGGATGAAGACGACGAATTAGAACAGGAAGATGAGCCAGTGAACAAAGACGACAAAAAAGTAAAGAAAAAAATCTCATTCAATTGTACTGCAAAAAAATGTCGAAAACATAGAGGCAATGATACAATACAAATAAAGAGAAAACGAAAATGTGGAACGGTGAATTATCCTGACACGATGTATAATGCAATAGATTCGAACGCAAACAAGGATCATCAAAATGGATTGGCAAACGCTAATTCAGTTAGGGACAAAAACGATCAACAAAGCCACGAAGAGAAGACTTCTATGTCGCAGGTGGAGACAATCGTCTAAACACATTCAGGAATAAAGGAAATGCCTTACATAACGATATATGGCAAGAGAGACATCACATGTCCAGTCGGCCCACAGTTACCTGGCTGAATACCACAATGAGGTTGATATGACGGCCAACTCTGTTTTCCTTAGTAAGCGCATCTATCCATACAGGGTTTTCCATAAGTGGCAGTAGTCAGTATGACCACAAAAGGGCCGCTCAAATCTTCCCAGTGAAATCATAGCAGATGGTGGTAAGAAATCTTTTGAGGCCTTATCAACGGCGGTTTTAACCGAACTTTATTGAGACCCATTTTTCTCTCTCCTTGTCGAGGAAGTGTTATTCGGATGATAACAATAGAAAATTTCAGCTCAGGTACAACCAGCTGTGACCATTTTCCGTTTACTAAAGACTTTCGTTCTTCGTTGTCTTCCAGAAGAGCTTATAAAGGAGAAAGACGTGTTTTCCTTTAATTAACACGGTTTACCGTAATCAAGACTATGCGCGAAACACAAAAGATTTGTTTAAATTTTTGTTAAAATTTCCGTTGTGTAGATAGAAGTTAGGTTTCGGGAGAGGTGATGGCAAAAAACAAGACGAGAGTTTTTCCTGCTTGGCCGGTGGCTTTAGAACTTTGAACTGCAAGGCATTGCAAATCATGCCGCTTAGTCTTTTGTGTTTGACATGTCAAACAAATAAATACCGAACTACCACAAACCTGTTTCAGTTACGTGAAGTTAAACCTTATGATTTGCTCCTTCCTTACACTATTAATGTTTGCCTCCATTAGGAAACAACCTACCCAATTCTTTGATAATTTGGTCACAGTTAAAATTGCCACCATAGATAATTTCTTTAGCTGACATATATAATGTGCGTCGTCTGAGCGAATTTCTGTGGCATCGTAATCTTTGCATGCGTTAACTTTTCATTTGTTATTTTCTCTGTCAACTGCAGCAAATTAAAAACTTGAACGAGTCTCTAATCAAAACAAATAAACAAACTGCGTTCATACCCTCAAAGTTACAAAGTCAACATTAAGCGGAACTATACACCGAATGCAAATATGGCGTCCAATTTGAATTGCCATTGTTCTGGACTCACTAGCCTCTCACACATGTAATAATCCTTTTGAGTTTCCACGTGAAGAGGAGGCTAGTCAGTCCAGAATAATGGCAATTCAGATTGGACGCCCTATTTGCATCTGGTGTATTCTTCAGTTAAATTTCATTATGTAAAGCGCATGCGTAAGAGACCCGTGATGGGGTGAACGAAAAGTATATAGGGGGTAATTTTCCAAAGAAACTGTGGTACTGCTAGGTGGGGTAGCACTAACAAGATAATTTGGGTTTATAAACTGGGTTGATCATGTAAATGTTGAAATACTGGGGTCAGATTGCAATGACCCTTAGAGAAGTCGCGAAACTGAAAGAATCGTAGACGTTTGGGATCAATTAGTGGGAGAAGGGTACGTCCGGTCAAAAAATCCAATGGGTGTTATTTAGCTGGCGGGGCAAATTGAGTATCTTGAAGGCCCTTATGATCAAGAAAATTGTGAGGGCTTATTATCCATCTCTAAAGATCCACCTCTTCCCCAGTGCTAAGATTTAAACTAACGACAATGAAGGAACAATAAAAAAAAAGGAGGAGTTACACACCCTAGGTGGCATATATGCGTCATCGACATTGATGGCACGGGGAGGCCTGGCCATCAAAGTTCACGGCTCGGGGGACTAAATGTGCTCCGTACATGAAGTATATTTCTTTGACTCGTTCATCACGTTGTTTAAACATTTGTTATGAATGGTACACTCGAACAGCAGAAGTCGACGAGAGCCTTTAAATTATCTGTCTACTTGTTAGCTTTGCGGCCATGGTCCTTTTCAGCATCATTTATTCCAGTGGTTTTAGGAGCCGTTCTGTGTTGGAAGGCGACTGGACTTTTCAGTATCACTTTGCTCGTCTTTACAATGATTGCTGTTCTTGGAGTCCACGCGGCCGGCAATCTGGTAAACACGTATTACGACTACATGAAAGGAATTGATAGTAAAGTATCAGATGATCGCACTCTAGTTGATCACCTTTTAACGCCGAATGAGGTTGTTAATCTGGGTGTAGTTTCCTATGGGCTCGCCACACTGGCCCTTGTGTGCTTGGTTGGATTATCATCAGCAAAAATGGAACATTTGTCGTTCTTGTTCTTCGGAGGACTATCTGGCTCGTTTTTGTACACTGGTGGCGTTGGACTAAAATATTACGGTGTCGGTGATATTGTTATTGTTATCACATTTGGTCCTTTAGCCGTCCTATTTTCTTACCTGACTCAATGTGGCACTGTGGCGTTGTTTCCGCTGTTTTTTGCCATTCCTGTGGCTTTGAGCACGGAAGCTATTCTTCACAGCAACAATACGCGAGATATGGAGACTGATAAAAAAGCCGGAGCAGTAACATTAGCTATCATTCTTGGCCAGCAGCTCTCATATGTTCTTTATTGCCTCCTTCTGCTTGCTCCATACATGATATGTACTGTGCTTTCAGTCAACTTATCCGTGCGTTTCCTTTTTCCCCTTATCACGTTAAAAATGGCTTTCAAATTAGAAAGAAGTTTCCGTGAAGGGAAATTAATTCTGCTGCCTCAACAGACTGCTAAACTGAACTTAATGTTTGGGTTACTGTACACTTTTAGTTGTTCAGTTGCTCCCTTAAGTCTACCCAGGTGAAGGCTGGTACATTGGGATATACATTAGATAGTTACTGTGGAGTCTGTGTAGCATGACAGTTTCTGGGGGAGTTTCATTTTTCAGATCTGGAGTATGTAGGTGTTTTATGAGAATAAATGCTTGTGGCTTCGTAGGACTGAAATTTTCACCAGGAGCTAATTTCTTTGAATCTCTGTTCAAGCAGAGGAACTTAACTGTGTTTTTGGCAGTGTGTCCTTTTTAGGCCGTAACCAGTGCAATTTACTGCCTGTTGTACCTTCAAAGTCCATTTAAAGTTGCTTGGAATTCTTGAATATTTAACAAAAAAAAAGAATTTTTTCAACAGGTTTGAATATTTTCAAGGAAAAATTTTTTCAATGTAACCAATTGTAGAGTTAGAGAGGAGTAATATGATTTCTGATTTTCAGAGGGATATTTCTAACGAGTGCTAATACGAAGAATTGAAAGTGTGAGTCACATGAGGAGTTTTTGATTGGAATGAGGTTGAAAATTTTTTCTTTGGGATCTTTTTTTTTTTGTGAATCAAGGCCAATCTGAAAAATTTGCAAAAAAAGTAAAAGTTGCTAAGTTATTTTGCTGGTGGGTACCTGGCCCTCTTTAGTCCAAACAATTGGGATGACTTTGAATAGGGAATATGTTCTTCTTAACAACCAGCTTTGAGGTGTGCACTGTTAAATTAAAAGCAGAGTCATTTTCTTATTTGGTTCAAAGCCTTAGGGTGTAAATCAAAGGTTGAAATATGAGAACCTGTACATTACAGTTTGGACCAAAAATAGGGTTGTTAAGATCTTAATTACATGTGAAGGTGTAGTCTGATCGTCCGGGTGAGTGTAGTCCTGAGAAGGCTGTTGTCGGTGGTAGTGACTGACGTTTCGACAACCTGTGCGGAAGTCATCATCAGAGACTCTGATGATCAGACTACACCTTCACATGTAATTAAGATCTTAACAACCCTATTTTTGGTCCAAACTGTAATGTACAGGTTCTCATATTTCAACCTTTGATTTACACCCTAAGGCTTTGAACCAAATAAGAAAATGACTCTGCTTTTAATTTAACAGTGCACACCTCAAAGCTGGTTGTTAAGAAGAACATATTCCCTATTCAAAGTCATCCCAATTGTTTGGACTAAAGAGGGCCAGGTACCCACCAGCAAAATAACTTAGCAACTTTTACTTTTTTTGCAAATTTTTCAGATTGGCCTTGATTCACAAAAAAAAAAAGATCCCAAAGAAAAAATTTTCAACCTCATTCCAATCAAAAACTCCTCATGTGACTCACACTTTCAATTCTTCGTATTAGCACTCGTTAGAAATATCCCTCTGAAAATCAGAAATCATATTACTCCTCTCTAACTCTACAATTGGTTACATTGAAAA